GCCATTTTCTCAAGTGTTAGAGGTGTTAAGGCTGCTGTCTGGCCTTATTCCCAAACGGGTAATTGAATTGCTTTGAACTTCTGCGAGTTCAATTGGACATGGACTTAGCTTGTAGCTGTTTTTATGGGATTATTCTGCTGTGCTCCATCACCTAGAAAGTTAAGTGTTGGGTAAATGATTCTTGTACCAGCGTGGGCTTGGGCTGTGAGAGCAGGTGAGAAGCTCTTGATGTGTTTTTCCTTACCTTTCTCTATACAGTGCAGGAAAAGAGGGGAAGAGAGCACTCTGACCTTGCATCCGCACTGGAGATCAGAGGAGTCAAAATGGGGAGGGAACCCCACATCCAAAGGGTGGAATTCATTTTAAAAAAAGAGTAAATAAATCTTGATGGAATGAGAAGGACAGGCAGTGCTGGTGAGAGGAGCCCCTGAACAGCCTCCACTCCACAAAGTCCCCTCAGAAGAGGAGTGGTGCTGCACTGGGCTGGTTGGGACCTGCTAGATATTTTATATCTGCAGGTTTGGGCTGGAAAATAAATTCCTTTTTATTTACCTCCTTAGAGTTCTCCCTTCAGTCTGATATTCAGGTATCTCTGGTTGCTTTCGGATGAGCTTTGAAAGATGAGCATGAAGTTTTAATGCTTTAGAATGGTAGAATTGGACCATCTTTTTGGGGATGATTGCCACCTTAGTGTAAGGAATGTAAATAAGTTTGATATTTTAGGCTACTTAATTTTTTTCTGCCAGAACCTAAAGAAACTTTGTCTTAAAGGGCAAGATTCATTTGTTAAAAAATCAGGCACTTTTAGTTTTGAGCTTAATCAGAAATTTGCAGAAGTTTTGCTTGCAAAATTTCAGGGAGAAAAATGCACAGCTGTTCTTCCTTGGTTATCTCTCTTTTTTGGGGTGTCTCCCCAAGGAAATTTGACAGCTCATTGTCATTGGTGAGAGTATTGACAGCAGATAAGGCATGGGATGTAGAGGATATTTTGCTACACAGGCAGCAAAGTTGGCTTACAGCAAAGTCATTCCACAGTCCTGTTCTCAGGAAAAGTATTTTCCATCTTGATTTTTTCCTATACCCCCCAATCATTCTGCTTGTCTCTATCTTATTTTATTCCTTGCTACTTTTGCAGTTGATTGTATTTCACAAGGAAAAAGAGGGGGAAATAAATTGAATTAAAGGTAGCCAGAGGAGTGCAGGAGGATAAGAGGCTCTTACTGCAGTGTGGGGGGGATGAAGTCGTGGAGAATATTCACTCATTAATGAGGTGAATGAAATTAGGGTGATTCTAAAATGGTTGATTTAATTAACTGCTTTGTAAATTGATCTTTAAACAGGATAAGTTTATTGAAATATTTTAAAAAGGGAAAATAACCAAAGCCCTGCTCGAGTAACAGTTTGAAATAATGCTTGCTGTAGTTATTCATTAAAAAGTTGTGGATAGTTGGCAATGTTGGAACATGTTCAATAATACCACATTTTGCAATATTTGTTTTGGGGTTTTAATGGAAATTTCCAAGTTCCTGCAGCTGTTTTCAATCATAAAAGTCCCTCAGGAGCATTATTTCTAGATCTCATGGCTGTGTAGAAAAGCACGTGAAGATGGGAACAAGAGTTCCAGATCAAGAAGACGAGTGAGATGTGTCAGTGCAATATTTGCTGACTGTGCGAATAAAAACCAGCCACTTTGGGCATCTCTCTGTGACATTAGTGAGACCAGCAGGGAGATATTCTAATTTCGGTGTTCTTACCTCTTAAAGATTACCCAGAAGTTGCCTTAAAAGTTTTAGAGGGCTGGACTAATTATTTGCATGGAGAAGATAATTGATTTTAGGTGGTTTTTTTTGTTGTTTTTTCTTCCCAAGTTGTCCACATTTTTCCAGTGGCTGTGTTAGGCACAGTATCATGGAGTTAATTTGACATTAGGTTTGCTACTCTTACATTAGTTTCTGCAAGGCTTTGAAGTCCATTGATGAACAGGACTCCAGAACACCAGTTGGAAGTCATTGAATGTCTTATTCCTGGGGCAGAGGGTCGCCTTGCCTTGCATCCCTGTGAATTGAAATTCCTGCACAAGCTCAGCTGTGTCAAAGAGGGACAAATTGAGGCCCGAGCTCTTCCTTCATACATCCACGAGCAGCAAGAGGTCAACCCCTGCCCCTGCATCTGAGAACTCTGCCCTTCATTAGCTGGAATTCACTAAAGGACAGTTAGGATTCACCAAATCATTGTGTGTAATTTACTAAAGGAGATTAATTTGGCCTGGGCACCCAGATCCAGGAGCTGAGCCTTAGCACTTTAGACAAATTAGGAATGACACCCAAATTTTAGAGAGAATCGCTGGCCATGGCCACCAACTGCTTCAGGAGGTGGTAAGGTCCTGGAACAGGTTGCCAAGAGAAACTGTGGCTGTTCCATCCCTGGAAGTGTCCAAGGCCAGGCTGGACAGGGCTTGGAGCAACCTGGGGTAGTGGAATGTGTCCCTGCCCATGGCAGGGGATGGAACTAAATGATTTTACAGCCCCTTTCATTTACCATTCTTTAATTCCATGAGTCTGTGTTTTGAAAATTGTCTGTTGACAATTTTGAAGCCATCTGGAAAGTCTTGTATTTGTCAGATGGGAGTTTTTTAGTTCACGGGGCTACAAGGACAAAAGTTCTGGGTTTCTGCATCTGTGATAAATGGACGATTAAATAATTTAAAGTATGTTTTAAATACTGTTAAATGTTAGTCTGTAAAGTAGGAATTTCGAGTGGAGTTAATTCTGGTTGGAGGCTCTGGCTCATTAAATTCTCCAGTTCAAACCAAGAACTTGAGCACATGAAACTTGGTATTGACAGATAAATGATCTGGGAAATGGTGACATTAGAAACACTGGCAAGAAATGCCCAAGCCGGCTGTTGCCCTGAGGAAGGGTAAGCTGGCATATCCAGTGGAAACCACCTCAAGGCCAGATGTTTAAAGAGATTTTTTTCTTTGAAAACGGTGCTGCTTGGAGCTGGCTGTGATGAGTCAGTAAGTCCTTGTGACACTTCTCCCAAAGCTGGGAGAGGAGGATGGAGCAGCCCTGCCTCCTCCAGAGGCCAAATCTAGAACACAGCGTCTGTTTCCAAATGCTCCCCGCCAAGCTCCGAAGGTCTCAGGCTGGGATGCCACTTCCAAATTGTGGTGGTTACAATTCCAGTCAGTTGCAGGTCGACTGCTGCATTGCCTGCCGTGCCCTCCTGTGGTTCAACAGTCTAGGTGCTTGTCTTGGAAAATTTTAAATGGCCTGGATGTTTCCAGTAATCAGTTTTCCGGAGGACAGCGCATTCCCGTTGGGCTGAAGCGCTGATGTGGATGTAGAACGTCTGTCTTCTCACACAGGCATTTTCTTGGATGGGAGTCATCCCCTTGCATTGTCCTCCTGCTTCCTTCTCCCATGAAACAATGTAAGGAGCTCAGTAGTTGCTGGATGAGGACAAAGATGGGATTTTCTTCTCATTTCTGTATTTCCCAGGCTGCAAGTGCCGTTTTTGTGGATTTGTGCATCTTGGCTTTGTCTTTACAGCTCTACTTCAGCTCTACTCCAACTTGCCAGTACTCAGTGTTGTTCTTCAGCCCCAGCTATGGATCTTGAGTCATTCCATGACTCCTGTTAGGAACTTCTCTGTGCCAGGGCAGAAATGGACATGAGGAGTCATTCTCAAAATTTGTGGGGAGGAATAGGCAGCCCTGTCCCTGGAAGGTCTCTCAGCCTGACAGCCATCGTCCCTCTCCTGGCTTTCACAGGGTCCTTGGAATTCTTCCTTGACTTTCCCTCAGCTGTGGTTTGCTTTGGCTCTCAGGGATTGTACATCAGCTCTGTCACGTCTCCTGGAGTTTGAGTGATCTCTTCACCCTGCTCTCCTGCAGGAATGGTAATAAACCCTTGACTCACGAGAAGATTCCCGAGAAGGATGGAAAATGCCGTATTCTGCTTGCCAAGTTCTGCCTGCCCTCCATCTGCCATCCCTTCTTCTCAAGATCTAGAGTTCTGAAGGAGGAGATCTTGTTGTTTGTGTGACATTTGGATCTGTAGCCAGGAGACTTAGGAAAGAAGCACAATTAAGGGACCATATTGTGATTTTTCAGTTCCATTTCTGGGCTTTGCAGCAAATAATGTTAATTTGTTGTGGCACCTTGGGAAGTTTAGGAGTCAAAAATGATTCTGTTTTTTGAGCCACCAGGATGGTCGAGTTACCTGAGAAGCCAGTCTTTGGAGGGGAAAAAGCTGAAGACTTATTTCTTTAAATGAAAACTCAGGAGTAATTGGATGTGCTGCACTTTCCTTGTCAGGGCAGGCAATCTGTGACAACATTCCAGGTTCAAAAGTTCCTAACTTCAGAAATCCAACTTCAGTCAGATCAACTTGGGTCCTACAGGCCACTAGAATTTCCGCTGGGTGTGTTTTTATCTTTTTTTTTCAAGGTAGCAACAAAAGTTAGGGCAACTCAAACTCTTTGTAGTTAAGATTTGAAAGAGTGGAGATTCATAAATCTCATGTCATAACTGGTGAAAACTTGTCCAGAAAAACTCAGATCTGTGGCCACCACAGAAATCTGAGATTCCTGTCTGGTGGGTACTTAACACTGGGCAAAATTTTCTCTGGGATCTAGTTGCAGCCATAATTACTGAGCAACAACAGTCTCTGTAGCCGTGGTTTATCAAAAACAAAAGGGCACAAACAACAGTCTCTGTAGCAGTGGTTTATCAAAAACAAAAGGGTTGGTGCAGATGTGGGGAATGTCAGGGGAGGTCCGAAATGCTGTTGGAGCACTCCAAGGAAAATGAACCCTTCTGCTGTGTAGTGAGATTGGGATTCATGGCAGGTGTCCGACTGAGGTTGGTTGGAGGTGAATTTTGGAGCTGCCATGTGTGTGTGTCTTTAAGTTTTCCACCAGAATTTATAAAGTACCTTCCGTGTGCCACGTAGAACTCTTGAACTGAAGTATTTTGTATTTTACCTCATTTCCAGCCTGCTGGAAACCATGTCTCACTACACAGACGAGCCAAGATTCACCATAGAGCAGATCGACCTCCTGCAGCGCCTGAGACGCACGGGAATGACCAGGCATGAGATCCTGCACGCCCTGGAAACCTTGGACCGTCTGGACCAAGAGCATAGCGACAAATTCGGGAGAAGGTCTGGCTACGGAGGCGGCTCCTACGGCAACAGCACCAACAACGTGCCGGCGTCTTCCTCGACGGCCACGGCTTCCACACAGACGCAGCACTCCGGGATGTCCCCGTCCCCGAGCAACAGTTACGACACCTCCCCACAGCCTTGCACTACGAATCAGAACGGGAGGGAGAGTAACGAGAGGTTGTCCGCCTTCAACGGGAAGATGTCGCCCACCCGCTACCCCCTGGCCAACAGCCTGGCCCAGAGGTCCTACAGCTTCGAGGCTTCCGAGGAGGACTTGGACATCGATGACAAAGTGGAGGAGCTGATGAGGTGAGTGGCGGTCTCTGTAGAAGGTATGGAGGTGAGAAGTGCCTCAGCAGGAGTGGGTGCATTGGAGGATTGCTCAAATAGGGATTGTAGGGTGGTAAAATGCTGGCACAGGTTGTCCTGGGAGGTGGTGGATGTCTCATCCCAGGAAATATTCAAGGTCATGTGGGACAGGGCTCTGAGCAGCCTGATCTAGTTGAAGATAGTCCTGCTTATCACAGTGGGTTTGGACTAAATGACCTGAAGTGTCTCTTCCAACCCATACTGCTCTATGAGGATTTGATGATGATGATGATGATGATGATCAGGAGAGCAGGAGCTGCTTCAGGCAGTTGTTCCTGCCAGTGCTCCAAGAGTCACCATCCCAGAACCTTGTGGAGGCATCCCCTGGCCCTGTGGGAGTGCCCCACAGTCTGACTGTTGAAATAATTTTTCCAGTGCTATGCCAAAAATTGGAATTGATGTTAGAGCACTCTTTTATTCAGGATTCTGATGAAATATCAATTCACATGACTCCTTCTCCACTGTCTCACACTCACTGTAATTCCTTCCATATAGAGGGAGAGAAGGGAATCCAAGTTGGATTGGTCAGTGCTTTCCAGTGGGATCTGGAGAGGATGTATGCTGTTTGTTTATAGTTGGTGGCAGGGATTTGCAGAATGATGCAGGAAAATACAAATAATAAAGAAGAAGCAGAAGTTTTCTCTGAGAGCCATTGGGGTGGTTTTTTTCAGGGCTGACCTTCCTTTACTTTTAGCAGCTTTCTTTTCAACATTATGGCAAAGATGAAAGGAGGGGATTATACTCCTGAGGATGAAAGTCAGTCAGTGGGCTTTGAGAGCACAAAGAAATAAGAGGAAAGGCCAAATGTCTCAAAACAATTTTGGTCATAATGTTGGAATTTATTCTTTTTATTCTCCCAAAACTGCACCATTCCTGAAGTAGCTGTGGGAGGACTGGAGTCCATAAGCTCCAGAATGGAAATGTGTTGGAAGTAGTTTGGAGATTTCAGGGAAAGATGTGGCTTTTGGGGGAGAGATTAGAGATGAGCAGTAAGAAAAGCCGATCAGCCTCATTTGCTGTCGGCTGCAGGATGATGGAATCGTGCAGGAAGGGGGTGAGTAGAGCAGAGTGCCAAGTTCCATGGCTGAGCTTTGGGTTCCTGTGCAGTGAGTCTCAGGTAATGCTTTTAGTGCTTGTTTAAACTGAAACTGCTTGTGTTTGCAGGCATATGGAGGATGAGTGTTGGGTACAGAAATAAAAATGAACCCACAGCACAGCATTCATTTTGCATTTATATTTGCAAGCTTGAGTCTGCCTTCAATGCAGCTGGGGCAGGAGGGGAGAAGGGAAATGTCTCATAAGGCCTAGTAAAGGCTGATTTTAATTGCCTGCCCTTCTCAGGAAGGGAGAGAGAAAGAGGAGGGGCAAAGTATGTGTTTATTGCAATTGAAATTTGCTGTGTATCACAGTACATGTGCAACCTCCAATTTATTTGCTTTTAGCACAGTTTTAGCCCCTTCTGAACTACCTGTGCAGACCTTGTACAAAAAAATCATACAAAGACCTCATTCATTTAGTACAACCTCTGGACTAAGCAGGGGACTAAAGGAGGGATGTGAGGACAGAGGCTGCAAAATTTTGGATCTTTTCCTTGGGATGCTGGAGGAGGTTGGTGTATGTATATTCATTTGAGCAACTAACCATGCAGCCCCTGCTATCCTTTATTTTTTATTTTTCTGCCTCATTTTTATGAGTGAGGTTTTTATGCTGGTATGAGAGATTTATTCATCCCTGTGTAATGAAACTTTGTACATTCCATATGGCAGTGCTGCACCTAATATGAATTATATGGGACATGAGTCATCCATTCTCCTGCTATGGTGCTTTGATCAAACGTGACACTTGTTAAAAGAAGTGTCCAGCACTGAAGCATTTGGGCTGTTTTAATGCCAGCCTTCCCCACTCCTTGTCCCCTAAATAAAGGAAATAAAGGCATTTTGCATCTTGCAGGTGCACTTTGGTCCGTCCCTCTTTTTGTGTGTCCTGTTCTTGTTTTGTTTTGGTAGGAGGGACAGCAGTGTGATAAAGGAGGAAATCAAAGCCTTCCTCGCCAACCGGAGAATTTCCCAAGCAGTTGTTGCACAGGTAACAGGTAAGAGCTCGGGGAGTCCTTTCCTCATTTTGGGAATCTCTGTGTCTGAACTGCTGTCTGAGCATGGTGCAGATGTTGGAATATCACTTGGCTTTCTGCATTGCAGTGCAGATCTGTCAGCTTAGTCATGATAATGTATGCCTTTGATTTAAGACCCATTGTCCTGCACATCATGGAACTTCCCCAGTGAATCACTTTTTTTTTTTTTCTTTTTTTTTTTTCCTGTGGCTTGTGCTGGCAGATTTTATTTTACAGCATTATAATAAAGCCTGAAGTTCTTATCTTAAAATGAAAACGGTTTTCCTTAATTCTTAAATTGTTGTTGAGTGCGGCAAATAGATGCATATCTGCTTCTCTGGGTATGGAGGGAGAGAGATAATGTGTATTCATATATTAAAAAGTATATGAATAGTCAGGAGAAACAGCTATAGCTGGTACCACCACAGTCAGGAGTTGGAGGATGAGAGTTGGAAGTTTTATCCATCCTTTGAGTCACAATTAATAAAAATCCGAAGAGAGGTTGAGGATGACCAGACCAGCTCAGGTGTTACCTGGAAGGAGCAGCAGTTTGGGTGCCCTGTGCCCTGAGTCTTCTCTCTCACATCCAGACTGGTGAACTCACTGCAGTGGTGCCACTTTCTCCCTGGGTGTTTTCCCAGAGCTTTAGTGAGAGGGTAACAAAGTCCTGTTGCTCCTCCATGGGGTGAGGTGTTGTTATTTCTCCCTTCCAGGCACACAGGCCTTGCCTGGAACAGCCTTGGAATCATTTTGGTTGGAAAAGCCCTCTGAGACCATTGAGTCTGATCCCCCAGCACTGCCAAGGCCACCACTGATCCGTGTCCCTAAGTGCCACATCCGTATGGCTTTTAAATCCCTCCAGGGATGGGGACTCCAGCACTGCCCTGGGCAGCTGTGCCAGGGCTGGACAGCCCTTTCCAGGCAGGAATTGTTCCCAGTATCCAACCTGAACCTGCCCTTAGGCCATTCCCTCTCATCCTGTCCCTTGTTCCCTGTCAGGGAGTTGTGCAGGGCCAGAAGGTCCCAGCTGAGCCTCCTTTTCTCCAGGCTGAGCCCCTTTCCCAGCTCCCTCAGCTGCTCCTGGTGCTCCAGCCCTACCCCAGCTCCATTCCCTGCTCTGGATTCACTCCAGCCCTTCTTTTAGGATGAAGACTTGATGATAAAATTCAGAAAGCTCAATCCCATGTTACACCTCTAAGATTTATTAACTTCTTAACCCAAGCTTGGATAAAGATCTTGAAATAGATGATTTTTAAGGTTCCTAGATGTCTGGGAATGCCAAAGCAGTAGGAGGAAAGTTACTATTTTATTATATTTCCAGGATTTGAAATGTCATAGGAATCCACCTGTCTGGGAGCTGTGGGTTTGCAGACATGGCAGCAATTGAGGTGGGCGAGCACAAATTGGTGCTTGAGCCACAGAGCCAGGAATTCTTTCTGTGTATCCAACTCTTCTGTGATCCTGGGTAAAATGACTTGTCCTTCCCCAGTCTCAGTTTCATCCTGAAAATCACGAGATTAACAATTTGTGTAAATGTAAGGGATGTTTTTTGCCTTATCAGATGTTAGCAATAATACTTCAGAAATTAATATGTAAGTTGAGTTGCTTAAATTGTACCTGAACTCTAAAATTTTGGTACATAGTGGGTCACTCTCCTGCTTTTGTTCATTCCTTGCCTAAATATAGTCCTGGAAGAACCCATCTCTGAATTAACTTCTGTATAGCACCCAACAAGTCAGGCTGGCTTCCCCTGCAAGAGAAGGAGTACAAAGAGAGGAAAACTGCACCAAAGGAGTCTTTCCAAAAGGAGCCAGTGTTTGGGGTTTTTTTGGTCAATGGGACTGCCAGTTGTGGGGTCATTGAATCAGAATCACCACACCAGATCCAAGTCTGTGTCAGTGAAAGGAATGGGTCTAATTATAATTAACTGATTAATTATAATTAACCCTTGATGCATGTGTTTGATACCCTGCAAGAAGCTGTATGAAACACAAGACCAATCTCTTTACACCTGATCCTTTCCCTCCTTCCATTCTGAGCCTGTTCTCTTGGATTTCAGTTGGCATTAAGTTGGCATTTAGCTTTTGGGAGCTCTCATTGTTTCCTCCTGTGAGTAATTGACACCAACCATCCACTTGAGACATGTCTGACTGGATTTCACACCCTTCCCACTCAACCCTCCTGTGCAGCACAAGGGAGATCCACAGTGTGCTCACAGAGGGACCAGAGAAATACTGCAGGGTGTCAGTGGGACAGAATGAGGGCTGAGCTGAAGGCACTGTGTTATTATCTTGTTTTTGAGCCAAACCCATGGGAAACTGGTACATCTTTGCATCTCAGTCATCCTCCCTGTGCTTGGTGGGAGCTGATTCATTTTAAATCAACCCCCGGCCTTGTGTAAGCAGATGTGTAGCACTTACGTGCCACTCCTAAGTACATAGTAATGGCTTATCTGAGGGAAATGGTAAATCTCAAAGAGATGTTCGGAAGGACCAGATTAAAGAGTGTGCTCAGCTCTAGCAGGGAGAAACATCAGCTTCCTCTCCAAAGCAGGGAGTGGTGAGGAGTGACTGGAAATAGCTCGGGACTGAGATCCGGAGCAGAGCGTCCCAGGGCTCTCCTTTCCAGAGCTGTCTCAGCCTGATGAGTGCTGGATGACTTGGAGTATTCTTCAGATACCTCCAACATCCCTTTCAGCTGGGGAAGAGACTCCCAAGGAATGTCTGGAAACCACTTCTGGTTCAGTAAAAAAACAGTTTTTATAGGCAGAGGCTTTGCAGAGTGTATGATCCCAAATGGCATCACCTCAGGATTTACAGCCTTTGTCTTACTGATAAAGATTTTCTGTAAAAAGTTACTTGTACAAGAGAAAAATAGAAAAATTGGCTTTTAGTCTTCATCCCTTCTGCCCTGGGAAGAGGCAAGAAAGAAGTGAAAAATTTATGGCTGGTTCTGTCCAGGAGAGTGGCTTGGCTTGGCTACCTCTGCTGGCAACTTTTCCTTACAACTTCTACCAATTCTCTGTTTCCCCTGTCCTTATGACCTTCTTTATCCCCATTCTGTAACTTGCCATGTTCTGTCCTTGATGCAGAAACCTCTACTGCAACTGTGACCCCTCAAAACCTCCTTTTTGCCTAATTTTGCTAATTCTTCAAACTACACTTTCATTCAGAAACACATTTCTCCTTTTCCCCATCTTAATTCTAACCTTGCAAAGCAGTTACAGAATCCATAGTTCTGTAGAGCAGTTCTGCATCAGTAAACAGCTTTTCCTCTTGTTTTTCCTGCTGTAGCATGAGGCAGGTGATGGAGAGGGAGGATGCAGGAGAGAGGAACACAAAGCTGCGGGTTAAAGTCAGCTGTTGCAGTAGAAAAATGTTGAGGCTCTCTTAATCCTTATAAAATTACCAGAAACTGTAAAAGTCATTTAGATAATGAATCTGACAGGAAAAATTAAACCTGGAAGACATTCTACGGGGCTGCCTGGTGTATGGAGAGGACAGGGCAGGCTGGAAAATAGTAACAGGGTATTAAAAAGTGACTTGAAAATAAAGGATGATTGATAAGAAGCAAAAACTTAGCATAACACTTACTAGTGCTGGTCCTAAAAACAGGAGCTGCTTTTTATAGAAACTTTTTTAATGGTGTCTGTAATAAGATAAACAAGAAGCACTTGGGTTGGGCTCTGTATAAATAATCTCCTACTGATAAGAAAAATGACAGTATAAACAGGAGCTAATAATAGTTCCTGCGGAATTTCCTCTCCTGGAGTTTGGAGCTCCTTTTAACATCACTGCAGCCTGCTCAGGGGCTGGGGGTTCTGCCCCACGTGGGGCAGGTGAGCTGCCAAATTTTTACCAAATAGAATTTGAGGTCTTGTGTTGGAATTTGCTTAAATTGCCACAAGAATTGTACTTGGCCACCAGGTTATGGTCAGGAGGCAGAGGATGAAGAGAGAAATGTAAACTTCTCTCAGAGATGCTGTCTGAGCTTCCAAAGTTAGATGGAGGGTGGAGAAATATTTTCAGGAGCTGATGTCTTTCTGTTCTACAGTAAAGGAGAGAGGGAGGAGAGCACAGGGATGAGCCCTCTGCAGATGGGCTAAAGTGGTTTGATGGATGATGCCTCTGCAAGGTTTGGAAATATTACCTTTCCTGTTTTTTACACATAGGGAGTGAAGGAATAAAAAAAAACACCCTTATTTTCCTGAAGTTACAGAGCAGAAATTTCAATTCAGTTTTTTCAATTCTTAAAAACATAAAAACCAAACCACCATTAAAAAAAAAAAAACAACAACCCAAGCCCATCAAGAGTAAAATGCAGATGTCGTTTTTTGGGTTGTTTTTAAATACACAGAGAGCTTTCTAGGGTGCATTTCTGGTACCCTTCCCAATTATTCTGCTTGTACAACCCAGCCCTGTCCTCCTGTCTCTCTGCCTTAATTGATAGGAGATCTCCAGGACTTGGCTTTAGATTATGCTAAACACACGTGCAGTGGAGGGCAGCCTTGGAACACTGCTGGAACAAATAAAATCCCCACAGGTTTGGAACCCACACACAGGGATGCTGAGCAAATGCCAATACACAGGGAAACTTAACTAGTTCCACCGTGGAGAGAATTCAGAAAATTCCTGAATTATTGATCATCTCAAATGGCATGAAACTGCATTTTGAGAAACATTTTCCTTCCTGTTTTTTTTTTTAAATACTCATGACAACACAGAGATTTGGTTTTTTTATGATTTTGATCTTTGCAGGTTTTCTGTAAACAAGCTTTGCTAATCTCCTAAATTGATAGATGTCCTTTGCAAGCACTTGTTCTCTGAATCTGGGACTTTGCTTACAAAGTGAAGAATTAAAACACAGTCAGTTAACTTTCTTCTCCAGCTCTGATGTATTCCAGGTGCTTCTGAAAACCTCTCCTGAAAGAAACATTAAAGAAATGCAAAGCAGAGCTGCTGAACAAATCTATCAGTGAAGGTGAAAACCAGTTCCCAAAGACTTGGTGAATAGCAGAGTTGAGGGTTATGAGCAGATTTGAACTGCACATAGCAGTGGCCTTCTCTTGATGATGTATTTTGCCATTTATTTTATGGTTTTGGAGGGGAAACTCTCCCCTAATCAGTTGTGTAGGGGACAGCAGGGCTGGCCTGGGGGGTGAGCACAGACTGGTTTGTTTATCACTGGGAAGTGTGACCTGCTGTGGGAAGGAGTGAGTGTGACACAAGCAGTCAGCATCTGTGCTGCAATAATCCTTTGTGGATACCACTTTCCTTCAGTATTTTCTGTGAGAAAACTGTTGGTGTCCATAACCAGCTGTGTTCCTGGCCCTGCTGATGCTGAGCCCAGAGCACCACAGCCCTCCTTGAGGTCCCTGCTTCACTTGGAGGGTGAATTTCCTCAGCACAGCTGGGTTTTCACTACTCCAGAAAAGTTATTTCATCAATTGCTTCTGGCAGCGGGATGATTTCTTTTTTCCTGCCCGTGCAATTCCCTAAATCAGAGTATGATTAGAGACAATGTGACAGGAGGGTCCTGGTGGTCACTGTCCTGTGAGTCAACTGTCTGAAACCCACTTGAGATGCAAGAAACTCTGACATGACAACTTGGGGGATTTGGTTTTTTTCAGTGAAAGGAGTTAAGGATGGGTTTAGATCCCACAGCCCTGGGATCTGGGAGATCCTGGATGAGTTCTTCTGAAAGACTTTGCATGTGACCTTGGGTTGGTCAAGCTGTTGGGATAGTTTCGGGGCCTCTAAACCTTGCTGAGGTCAATTTTATGCCTTAAAAACATTTTACAGAAGCAGCTTTATGAGCTGTGAGGGCTCACAGTAGGTCAGAGGCTCAACTGCTGTGGCTAAATGACAGCCACAAAAGGATCCCAGCACAGATCCAGCTCTGTTTGGGAGAACTTTGATGCAGTTCAGGACATTGGGACAGTGCATCATCTGGAAAGAATGATGGAAAGAAGCTTTTTACAATGAAAATGGCACAGGTTGGTCAGGAATTTGGTGTCTGCCCCATCCCTGGAAACATTCAAGGTCAGGTTGGACAGGGCTCTGAACGATGTGATCCAGTTGAAGATGTCCCAGCTCATTGCAGGGGGTGTTGGACTAGATGACCTTTAAAGGTCTTTCCAGCTCAGATTTTTCTGTGATTCCATGAAAGTGGACATGGCAAGACCCTGCTTGAGTTTTTTGGCTCCTGCTGCTGTGCCTTGCCCTTGAGCACATTGTCTGGAATGGTGACATCTGTGCCACGTGTGACAGTGTCAGGCAGCCTCTTGAGCAGGATTCAGATTTTCCACTCATGGCAGACATTTAATCTCTATTTATAATTTTTATCTACCAGTGCTTTGTGTTTGTATCTTACGTTGTTATCCAGACACTCAACACACCCTAATTCACTGCAATAAGTGTAAGTGGACCATAGTAAACAAGTAAATGACTGGAACTGTGATTAATTAATGGGAGCAGGGCAGCCAAAAGCAGTGAGACACAAACCTTTGTGTCCCACAGCCCAGGACAAGAAATGGCTTTTATAAATCATAATAGGTCAAGAGCTGCACATTTTTGCACTGGTGATCAGGCATATGCAGATGGCAGGATTTCAGCTAGGCTGGAGCCTTGTTTTGGGCCAGAGAGTGTTATCAGCTTAAACTGCCTTCTTCTGGTATTAACTTGTGTGCTTCCACAGTTACTTGATGTAAACTTGGCAGAGTCTGAGGGCTGTGTTTGGTTGAATAATTCCACTTCCCCAGTAGTGTAAACTCAGTTTTAGATCCCACTGTGGGCCCTGGGGGTAGGCAGCTCTTGGCTGCCCCAGCTGTTCCTGAACTCTGTCAGTTGAGGGCAAGGCAGTCTCTGAGAGTGGGGTCTGGGAAAATCAGGGTCTGTTTTTTGGGCACAGCTCTGCTGAGCAGCAGTGAGCTGCTGTATCTGAAACAAAACACACCCATCCTTTCCCCCAGGACAATTAAGACTTCATAGCCTCCAGAATTCTGTTTGAGGAAGAACAATTAAGAGTACAAACCCAGTGATTTTAAAAATCTGGTTGGTGTAAACCCACCTGAATATGGTACCTGAGAGTCAAGTTGAGACATTCTGAAGTTAGCTACCTTCAACACACCAAAAAAAGCATAATAAACCCCCACTTTAGAAGTGGTAAAACTACAGGGGGCTGTTTTTAATGAGTTAAATATGATTATGAGAGCTTATAAAACCTTGATGCATCTCTAGAGGGGGGAGGTACTTTGGGTTCTGTGTGCAAACCAGCCTCTACCTGCCCGGGTGATATCTCCAAGCAGGTGGTGGCACAGGTGGTGTTGGCAGTATATTGGTACTTGGAGCACCTCCTAAAACTTCACTTCTCAGGAGAGTTTGGATGTTGTTAACCTGTTCTGATAGCTGAAGGGTCTTGTGGAAAGCACAGGGAGTTCTGAAGTAGTGCTTCAGTTACTCAGCAAACTGCATTTTTACATTTTCAGGTGAACCTATTGCTGATCTCTTAATGCACTTCTAAACCTCTTGTTTTACTTAGTTTCTCTGCTGATCATTTTTTGCCCTTGCTGCATTGATCCTTCATTCCCTGCTTTGGAAATAACTGTATTAACTTCTAGGAATTTTTTCCCCCTTCCTACAGTTTTCGTAGAAATCTTGCTTTAAAAACTGCAGTGTTTTATCCCCGATCCTCCCTGGGTACCTCGAGCTTGGCTCCTGCTTTGCTGACAGACAGCTGCTCTTTCTGGGTTGTTTTCTGGCTGTTGTTACAGCTGCTGGCAGTTGGTTTGCTCCATTTCTGAACTGATGTGATCTATATCACATAAACTGTTTTCTGTGTTTATCTCCGTTCTTATTCAAGCATTGAATGATAAGGATTTCCTAACAATCGTTATTTGTATGTAATAGTGGGGAAGGGACTTGTTCCCATTTCACAGATGAAGTTTAGGAGTCATGGAAGGAGTGGACAATTCAAGTCTGTGACAGCTTTGGCTTCCCAGTTTTTCCCTCTTTGCTTTGGGGTTGATTATGGAGATTCCAGGGTGTTCCTTGAGTAAGGTTGAACATAACCCCAGGGAGAAATTTGGGCAGTTTGGGACAGAGCAGGGAAGCTTCAACTCTGCTTTTTACAGGATTGAAGCATCACCAAGTCCTGGGCTTTGTAAGGCACCACCTTTTATCAGTAGACAAACCACTTAAAAATGTTTGGTAAAGAAGAACTTTTCTCTTTCTTTTTTTGTTGAACTTTTCTCTTTCTCTCTTTTTTTTTGTTCTGTTCTGGTTTTTCACAGGTATCAGTCAGAGCCGGATCTCCCATTGGCTGTTGCAGCAGGGGTCAGACCTGAGTGAACAGAAGAAAAGGGCATTTTACAGATGGTACCAGCTTGAGAAGACAAATCCTGGTAAACAAATGCAGACTAAACATCTCCTGCTGTTTATTTACAGAATGGAAGCCTTTTGTTTGTTAGCACTGATAATTCGCTTCTTGGTCTGGGGTACTCCAGAGATTCTCCCTCTGACCAGGTTAATTTTTAGGAGGGTGGGAAGAAATATGCTTTTTGCTTTGCAACAAATGATGCAGAGCTGCCTCATCCAGAGCTGTCTGTCCAGTTCCTCAGCCACAGATACCTGCTCTGCCCTCCCTAAAATCTGGGACCACTCGCTAAATCTGGGAATCAGAAGCAGCCAGTGAAGCTGTAATCAGTTAATGTGAAATACAAGCTGAGGCTCTTCAGAGTGAACAAATAGAAACCATTCATAATGGCTGCATAATATAAAGTTTCAGCAAAAAACCCCATACATTTTGTCAGAGAGGATCTTCAGAGGGTTTTGGTTTGGATCTCAAACTCATGGATTGGGTGTTGATACTTACAGTGATAAGCTGGAGATGTGTCTTTCAAATCCCACCTGCTTCTCCAAATCTCAAAATAGATCTTGAATACAAAAAGAGAAGTAAAGCTCCTCATTATCTTTAACTAACCAGCAATCTTCAAAATCACAGTTGAATTAATTTCCTTGTATTGTTCTCCTCCATAGATTTTGTTTGACCACAGTTCTTATTTTTCCCTTTTTAACAGTTTTATTGTAAAGATCAAAATATTTATGTTTAATTTCCTTTAAACATTGGCTTGATTAAATTAACTGTGTAATTTATTTAAGGAATTTAAAACTCAGGCTCTCTAATATGAACTTGGCTTCAATGTCCAGAATTCTATTAAGAAAAATTCCAAGGGAATCAGAGCCTGAAAACTTCTGCTTTGTGTGTAAACTGAAAATCAAGAGGCTCCAGCCAGCAGTTGGCCTGAGGATAATTCAGATTTAAGTTGGGTGGGTTCAGAAGGACAGCTAAGCCTGTTTTTTCTGTTAAGCATGTTGAGGCTTCTTTTTCTTAAAGTTGTTTTAAAGAGCAAAAGTGCCAAGAGGCCTTGATTTTTGCACTGGCTGGAATTGTGATGCTGAGGATCAGCAGAATTCCTGGGTACAACCATCCAGTACCAGCTGCTTGGAAAGGCTCAAGTTTTACCCTGCAAAGTAACTCCCTGACCTTTCCCTTTGATGAAAGGTGTTGCCTCCAAAGTAGTGGAGAAAACTTGAGAGTTTTTGGAATGTGCAAAAACCACCAAAACCCTCTCCAGATGAAACCTGTTGTGTGGGTTTTTCCCAGCCTTGCATCCTTTATTTGCAGTATCACATGAAGCTGTTTAGGAAATAGTTTTTTTTTGTGCTAATAACAGAACCCTTGTTCAACGTAGCTCTAAAATCTTTACTTCTTCCTCTTTACCTTCTTTTTTCCCCATATCCATGAGCTCACATCTTCTTTGTCCTTTTGCTCTTGAGAGATGTCTAAGGAAGGAAGACTTTCCACACTGGAGGTTATGGCTGAAATTGAAATGAATCAACGTTAACTCTGCTTTGCTTTAGGCATGGAAAAACTCCTTGAAGAGTGCTTGTTTGAGTGTAACCTTTTTCCCAATTAAGAGGTCTTAAACAGCATTTTCAAGGAGTGTAAAAGGCAAATTGTTTCCTCTGCTTAAGCCAAGGGACTATTTGGATACACTTAAATTCCTTTTAGAACCAGACAGCACTTGGTTTCTTTTTAGAGGCTGAGGTAGAGGGAGGAACCTTCAGTTTTCCTGTTGCTGTTGGGAAAATCTACCTGAGGAAAATGGGTTTGTATTTATTTATTCATTGTAGGATAATATAACACTGATTTGAGTTATTGCTATCTATTATATTGCAGGTCAGCCCAGGTAGCCAAGAATAATTAGCATGGGAATGAGCAAGTGTGTAAAGGGAGGTACCAACCTTGTCCAGGGAATCCTGGATGTAAATCACTGTTACAAAACCAATCTGGAGCTGGAGTTTTGGCAACTACTTAGAGTATCCTGTGATTAGTAGTCAGAGTAGCAGGTTTGGTGTCCTCCTTAGAGCCAGAAAATGAGGAAATCAGTGGAGCTTCCTCCCGTGTTCCCAAAAAAATGATGCCATCACCACACTCTCTGTAGGGTATGAAAGATTGTCCTCCTTGGAAGAAACGTGGGAGATGAAATGACTGCCATGGTTTTTTGTCTAGTTGCTCACTTACTAAAAGGTGGCATCTGGCTTTCTGTTCTCATACATCCCATCTTTTCCAGTTCCACCTGCTGGGAGGGAAATCTCAGTCCTTTGAGAGAAAGTCAGGTCTGTGTGCAGAGGGACCCGCAGGTTTGAGTTATCAGAGGGCAAAGTGAGGCTTTTGGGAACTGTTGGTTCCCCAATTTCTGTAATTCTTTATCTTGAAAAAGTGGATCTTCGGAGTAAATCCATTTTTTGAACTGAATTTGTATAGTAAAGGAAAGAAAACCTAAAACTGAAACAGTTTTGACGGACTAGGACAGCAGATGTAATCAATTCCTAAACTGTGAAGGGGGAATATTTTGTATGGAAAGAACTGGAGATCTCTTGGCAGACTTTCCCTTGATTCTGCCAGTTTTTCTGTGCAACTTGTAGAATTAACCTTTTGTCTCCCTTTCCCATCTCCTGGATACAGGTGAGGCCTTTCCCTGTGGGTGACATCCCTGCCTTGCCTTCAGCTCCTCACAGCAGGACCTGTCTTTTACTGTGCTTATATAAGCTAATTATGACTTACAAATATATCAAAAAGAAATTTTATTTCTATCATCCAGAGGCAGTGCTGCATCTGCCAACCAAAACTTGGTGCTGGGGAGCCTTAGGGCAGTTCCAGGGCATTGCTGCTGTTCAGATGCTGGTCCTATATGGACAAGACTCAGCAATTCCATCCCTTCATTCTTTTCCAGCTGGCTTTGAGCTCTTGAATGTGCTGTTTGTTATTTGCCTTGGTTTGACTGCTGGTTTGCATGGGCAGTTTCTGCATTTCTCCTGTCCTTGGTGGTGGGTGTTCAGACAGCACCAGACTGGAATGTTGCAAAGGAGACTTGGAGTCTCATGGAACAGGAGAAAAACACCCACTTGTCCCACTGTATGCAATAATCTTGCTCAAAAAAATGTCTTAATCAATGTTTTCTTGGTAGGAGTGATGTCAGAGTTAATGGCAATGCTGTGAATTCCAACGTGCTACTGACTGTAAATTTTTCTGGAAGGAGTTGCCAGTTGGGGTGAAAGGCAGTTTTTTCTTTTGTTGGAGGGAAGAAGTAAATGCTAAATACTGATGTTTAAAAGGTCTTTATTCCGATTAATAGGGATGCTTTTCGTTTAGATGGAGCTTTATTTTCACACAGGCACCACTTGTCCATCCTGTGTTTTGTGGAGGACTGAGAACATTTTGGCAATAGATAAATTTTATATATTTCAGAAGCCAGTAGTGTCCTGCACTGTTCTCACTATTTTTTTCAGAGCCCATAGGTTTTAAATATTTTTTTTTTCTAGATTGGTAGTTGTTAGCCTGATTAGTTTCCCTGGCACTGGGTGTTGGGCAATGTGGGAAGTTTGTGATGGAGTAACCTTAAGCTTGTCTCTTGCCTCTGTGTAGTGCAAACTGAAGCTGGCACCTCGAAATGATCTGTTAAAGTTACAGATGGATACACACTGCTTCCATTTAGGCTGGGTATTTATTTCTGCCAGTCTTCTCTAATAGGAAGGCAGCTGTGGTCACCTTGGAGAGAACCATGGGCACTTCTTCCTTGAACAAAAGAGAAAATGAAAAGGAGTTATTATCAGGATGTAGCATCTCTTTTGTTATTTTCATAGTGGTTCTTGTTTAGCTATGAAAGAAAAGCCAACCCAAAATCAGGGGCTGGCTGTGCCACGAGGTTTGCACTGGGGAGGGATGGTTGGTGATGTGCTGTTCCACAGAGCTGCAGAGCAAAGTCCCTGCTCTGCTCCTTCTCCTCCCTGCCCTGGGCTCTGTAGGGAACCTTGTGCTGCTGCTGATTTCAATCCAGCATGGCTTACTCTGACCAAGAGGTGTTTATTGTGTGATCTGGGGTCAGCCTGGCTAAAAATACAGTGAGGCATCTGTTCTTATCAGGGTAATGTACAGCAGGTACTTGCTGCAAATGAAAACTTGCCAGGAAATGGTTTCTTGGAGCTGGGAGACGCCTGAGGCTCTCTGACCATTCCATGGCAGGGCCTGCCTGAGCCCAGGGATGGGGAGCAGGGATGCTCTTAGAGCAGCTCCCTTCCTTCAGGATGGAGTCTGGGATGTGCAGGCCCTGGCCAGGAGGAATTTTGAGCGTGGAGAGAGCTGCATTCCAGTTGGAGAGCACCTCCCCTGCCTCCTCTCCCCCAAACCCGCCAGCGGCATCCTCAGTCACACAAAAAATTCACAGAGAAAAGCCAGTGCTGTAGGAAAAGGTGCTGAGCACTGGCAGGGAGTGAGAGCTGTCTCCTTTCATTTCTGTGTGTGAAAGGAGCTCTTCCCAGGCGGTTCACCTCTGCACCCCTCAGAGGTGTCTTGCTGTTTGATACATACACTGAAAACCTTGTACTGCGTCTTCTCCACTCTGTCTGCTCAGGAGACAAGTTTCACTTCTCCTTAAAAGCTGTTTGAGGGGTTTAAAAAAAGAATCTCAACTGGTGACTGGGGTGTAACTTGCTAAGTTATAAAGAAGTGGAGCTGGGTGGCGAGAATATTGTGATGGAATGTTGGAACAGCAGAATAAACGGGAGCTCATTGAAGAGAGGGGGATGAGGAAAAGCTCCATAGCTTCCTTATCAAATGTGCATATCATAAATTATAACTTTGGGTTCAAAGTCATCTCATTCCACATCCCTGCTGTGGGCAGGGACACTTTCCATTATCCCAGGCTGCTCCACAGCCTGTCCAGCCTGGCCTTGGATTCTCTGAGGGATCCAGGGGCAGCCACAGCTGCTCTGGGCACCCTGTGCCAGAGCCTCACCACCCTCACAGAGAACAATTCCTTCCCAATATCCCATCTCTCCCTGCCCTCTGGCAGTGGGAAGCCATTCCCTGTGTCCTGTCCCTCCATGCCTTGTCCCAAGTCCCTCTCCAGCTCTCCTGGAGGCCCTTTAGGCTCTGCAAGGGGCTCAGACCATCCCATGTTCCCTTTTTTCCACACATTCATCCAAGCCCATTTTGGGCCTCTTTATGCATTCAGGTCCTCCTCTCTTGCTGTGTGGGGGTACTTGCTTGTAATTCTCAGCATATTCCTCTCTTATCTGCTGCTGATATTGATGTTACCCCATAGAAAAGAGAAATGGCTAAATTGATCTAGGAAGGCTACTAAAACAAAAAAAAGTGTATTATATTCAGTACGTGAACATACCTGTAGCAGCAGCAGAAAATTTATGCTTTCGATGCAGATTTTTTCCCCTACCTTTGTCTGAAAAATCTCAAGCAAATTTAATAGAAGGATTCTGCATCTCTTGGCTTGATGTGAGGGATCACTGATACTCCTGTCCTCTCCCTGTGAAATCAAATCTTCAGGTAGGGAAAGTATATTGCTAACACAATACAGGGAAAGCTAATTTCTTTTCCTGTTCTCCTCTGTCTCTTTTTAAAATTTTCATTTTTAATTTTTTTTTTTTAAGTTTTTGAAGTGTATTTAAAGCCTGGCAACTTAATAGCCACCCAGCCCCCTAAACTGTGCAAGTAGCAGAAAGACTAGATAAGGAGCTCTCCTTGAAATGGCCTCCCAGTAAATTGGCACTATAGGAAATATTTCATGTTTCAATGGAACCAAGTAATCTGTGTAGGCTCGTTAGCTGGGAATTAGGGAGAGGCACCGTGCCTTGTGTGTGCAAGGCAGAGATTGTGGGCTTCACTTCCTACTGACTCCTCCTGGGGAGCATTTGTAAATTATTTTGGGCTCCAGTACCTAACACAGATGCAAGCCCCTGGCAGGAAGGGAAAGACTCTGTGTGCATTTCTAGAAAGGAACACGGCCAAGTGCCTGAACAGCTCATTTCTTGCTTTTTAGCTGTAGGAATTTGTTTATTGGTTAAACTCTTGGGTTCCCTTGACCCTTCCACTCCTTGTGTATTAGAGGAGCAGTGTTGTTGCACTAACACTGTGTGGTTTGATGATTAAATCCCAGCCATTCTGAGTGAGCCTGAGCACCCAGAGGGGTTTGCTGTCACAGCCTTGCTCTTGAGTGTGCCCAGCCCTGTGAGCAGTGCTGCTGCTTCTCCTGGGTCTGCCCAGGCTGGCTCAGTGCAGGAATTCCACTGGAGCTCAGGATGCTTATGGGATATAGGTGGTGATTTATCTTTTCATACAACTTTTGTTTTCTTTTTTATGTTTTTTTTTCTTTCTCCACATTAGAGCAGCTCTCTCTTCCCTGCAGGGGAAGTCACTGAGCACAAAGCTGTCCTTCAGAACATATCCTGGTTTCTGTCCTTGTGTCCTATCCCAGGTTCCCATCCTCACCAAGGGATATAGGACAGATTGATCTCCCAGAGTGTCTTGATTTATCTTGATTTATTAGCTGAGAGGCTGTTGTGGAAAGGATCAGGGGTAAGTTTCAAAGGGGCCTTTCCTGAAGGCATCTTGCCAAATCCTGTCTCGTGCCTGATGCTTTCCAGCTCAGACTCAGGGAAAGGAGAAATACATCCACAGAAGGGGAGCAGGAGAGGAAAGTTGTGATGTTAATTTCCTTTCAGTGACTTTTTCAGGCACTCTGGCACTCGTGAGCCCCCATTTGCCCAGGCCACAGGGTGTGTTTCTGTTGGTAGAGCTGCTTCAGGTACTTCCTCAGCTCTTCAGACACACTGAAATATACCTTTGGTATAAATTTCCATTTTGCTTCCGGAAGCTGCTGTATAATTAAACAGAAACTGCCGTTTCCTACTTTGTGACAGCTCAGGTGGTAGCACAACCTAAATGAATCCCAGCTGGGGCACAGCTCACCCTTTCTGTGTGATCCTTTTCCTCTTGATGAAGACAAGACAGATTTTCCTAAGTACCCATCAGCTTCTTGGATTTCCATGGTCATGCCCTTCTGCCTCGGAGGTTGGGAAGTAGGAATTCTACCTGGCTTTGTGTATCTTTAGGGTGTCTTTGATAATACTTCATAATTTTTTTTTCAGTTTGAATGGTTTCATCACCTGTCTTGTCTTTTTTTTTTTTTTCTCACGAGCAGGAGTGAGAGGATGGGCCTGACTTTTAACCCTCTGGGAAACACAGTGTTTATTGTCCTTAGGGGCTACACTAAGCATGAGACCCGCTCCCATCCCAATAGAAGAGCCAGAATGGAGACAGACGCCTCCCCCAGTCACAGCTACCTCTGGGACCTTCAGACTACGGCGAGGCAGTCGGTTCACGTGGAGAAAGGAGTGCCTGGCTGTTATGGAGAGGTATGTGGTGGCTCTCTGAGGGGGTTTGGACATGGGAGCTCTAAAGCCAAGTTCTAAAGGATTTTTCCCTGCTCTGGTGTACGCCAGTGCTGTTTTCATGGATGTGTTGTAGCCTCGTGCAAAATTGTAAGAGTTGGATTTGTGATGATGGAGTAGGAGGAGCTGTTTTGCCTCTTGTGTTGTTTAAAAATTTGTAACATTTCTCTGGACAGGATCTCTTTATTTTTGTACACCATGTCCTTAGCTCAGTCTGAGCGTGTTGGTGTTCAGCTCTTTGCTTTTGTAGAAACTTTTCCACTTTTCCTGATCCAGGCTCTCTTGGGAGGGTCTTGCAAGCTCTTTCCATTCTGCATTTCTCCTTTCCACTCTCCTGATTTGTCCCCCTGATGCCTCGTGGTGGTTTAAAGTAGATACCGGCATTTTGGCAGCACTGTAATTGTTTGGGATGCAGAACTTTGCCTCACAAGCAGTAGATTCCTGGTCCAAAAAGGCTCTTAGAACCTCTTACAGGAGCTGGGAGCAGCACAGAGCAAAGTGGATCTTTCAAATCCATATGCAGAGTGGCAGGTGATCATTAGAGCTCCCAGTTCTCCTCTCTGAGCCTGGGTGTGCTTTGCCTTTCCCTCTGCTTACAGGAATGTCTCTTTTGTGGATGATGTTGTACAGTAGAAAAGGGCTGGGGAATTTGGATATAGTTTAGGGATGAACATTTATTTCTGTCCAGGGCTAAAAGGCTGGGAGGAGTTTTTTCCCCTCTGACAGCCTGAGGAGCCTCCTTTCCATGGAAGGACTGGATGACTGTGTGTGCTACACTCCTCTCAGGTCTCCAACCCCAGTGAGATCTCAGCCAGCCGATTTGTAGGATGTGTTTATAACATTTCTTCAATGCTTCCCCTTCCTCTTGTTTGCATGGGGGTCTTGGGAACTGATTAGGAGCAGGAGAGCATCATTTGCCTGAGCTAAGGCTGAAATCCTGAGCTCCCTCAGGAACACAGGGTAGACACATTTCTGTGTCTTTGCAGGGCTGGAACCAGTAACTTAAATGTTTGTTTCCCTGTTCTGGCCTGGCACTGATATTTTATCTGGCATTGATATTTTTGGCTTTGCCTGGATGTTTCCCCAAAGGAAGTAATGTAAATGTTTGAAATCTGTTCTGCTTTGTTAGACCCAACTAATGCAATGCCCTGTGATCTGATAGTGTGTTTTTCTAGTGTCCCCCTCCATAGAGGCAGAACAAGGGGCAGGACAGGATCTTCAGCACTTTGAAATGCTTGTCTGACTGTCCTGATTGTGTGTGCAGAAGGACAGAACCACCACAGCTCTGTGTGCCTTCAGGGCAGCACCATCTCCTGATCAACACTCTGTGTGTGAAATGCTTTTTGGGAGTAGAATTAGAGCTCTTTGGGCATGGCTGGTTTTGGGCATGGCTGGTTTTCTTCCTGGTTTCTGTCTGGCCCAAATACCTGCTGTTATTTGCTGTTTGAATCCTGATTGTGCCTCAGACTCCTTTGCTGGGGAAACTGCTGATAGAGAGCTGAGCAAGCCACCCTTTCCTCATCCACCTCTCTCCTCAAGCCAGTCTCTGCTGGGACTCTCTAGAAATTAAAACTGTGATGTTTTAGTACATCTGTTAGAGAGGTGTGAGATTTGGGTTTGGGTATTGAAAGAACCAAGTTGATCTTGGCACTGTAAATCATCCAGTTGTGAATGCAGATACATAATCACTCAGTCTAATTTTTCATTAAATTCTTCTTGGTTTTGTTCTCTGTGTCTTGTGCTCTGTAAGGTCTTTCCTGCCAGAGTTTTCTCCTTATTCTGCTGCTGCCACATTGCCTTAATCCTGGCTTTTAATATTAATTTGCCAAGCCCTTGGCTAAGTCACTTTGGGTGCTGGGTTTCACAGGCTTGTGTGGGGTACTGGGAAGCAAAGCTGAGGAGTTTTACTCGAGGCAAGAACACAGTAAAAGTGTTGTGTGGCAATAAAGCTGCACCATAAAGAATGGGTATATGGTTGTTTAACTGTTGTGCTTTAATAGGCCTCGTTGAGCTGTAAGGATGAGCTGTTTTATGTGACAAATTTTGAAAGAGTGGGAGAAAAACGCTCTTCTGGGAGCCCTTGGAAGAAAATCACTAATTTCACTTACAGGGCACTGGAGATTTCCAGGTTTGGCCATGATATGACTCATAACAGCAGCAGGATGAAGGTAACCAGACGCCTCTGGCCCAAGCAGATCAGGTTTCCCTGGTGCCCCAGGGTCAGGAATAAGCATTTGGCCACTAAAATGGTGTTTGGCATTGCCTGTGGGCAGGTGCCATTTGTCTGGTAATTTGCATTTTCCTCTGCAGGATTAAGTTTTGACTCTAAGTGGAGGCATCTCAGTTTAATGGACTGTTTTCCCTAATGAAATTCAACTTTCAGTGCACTGAGTTTGTGTGTCCTGCAGCTTCTGGCTCTGATGTTGGTGCACATAAGGATTTGGGCACTTGGTTTGGAGCTGCTGCTCTGGGAACCTCAGGAAAGTGCTGGTTCATTTGGGCTGATACCTGTCCAGGAAGGAGAAACAGAGATCCAGGAGACAATTCCATCCCATTAATGCACTCAGAGGAGGGCTCTGTGCTCCTTCCTCTCTGGCTGCCTCCTGCAATTAGAACTAACTTTGATGGCTTAGTTTAATGCCTGAAGATAAGAGGGTGGAATCCAGACCTGAGTGGAATCTCTGCAAAACTTTTCCTTCCCTCTGAAATGCTTCTGTGATGCTGTATAAATATTTTTGGGCTGAGGATGGGGGTGTTGACCTGCTCCATCACTTAATTGTGCCCCCTACTTTTGCTTTTGTCTTGGATTCAGTCAGTAAAAATTGTAGTTGCTAAGAGTCCATGTGTCAAACCAGCTGAGAGCACTTCAAGGGAAGAATCTCCATGTGATTGCAAAATTTGGAGGGATTTGTTTCTTAGGAGCAGGCTCTCCAATCAAAAATGCACAGCACCAGTCAGGATTTGATCCATGAACTGAACAAGAAGGCTGAGGGTTGAAGGGGGGCAGTTTCTCTTTTTTAAAAAAGATTTAATTCAACAAAAAATTCCAGTTCAATTAATTATTATATTGGTGCCAACCTGATAGAATGAAGATTAGAGTTAGGGCCATATCCTGAAATGTCTGATGTACCTGAGGGTCTGAGTACAGGGTATGTGTATTAAATGAACTAATTGGTTTATACTCGACTTCCAGGATGCTGCTTGTGGTTTCTGTAATTCAATTCTCCTGCCTTTACTGCTTTTTTGGAATCCTCCCAGGGTAGTTTATTAATCCCTGGTCTGAGATTTTTTTGGACAATAGATTCGGGTCTCTTTATCCCTTTACCTTTTATTTTTCTGTAGATATCTCCCTGAATATTTATGTTCTGAAGGTTAAGAGGAGCAGTGGTTCCAGAAAGTAAAGTTCTATATTTAACTGCAGACTAGGTGTGGTTCAGACAACTGCAGTGCTACTGATGCCAACCTTGACCTGTTCTCTTCTGGAGCCTCCTGCTCATGGAATATGCTGAGTTTTGAGTGTCTCGAGGTTGTTGTGTGGCTTTGCCCTCCTTTGGGAGCACAGCTAAGACTGCAAGAGTCCTTTCTGTGCAAACCTGAGGTTAAACTTGAAAGCCTCTTTCTGGTTCACTTTCATGTTCTTTTTTGTTACGTCTTGTCCCACAGATAATGTTGTGTTGTGTTTTGTTTTTTTTTTCTTTTCTCTGCTTTGCTTCTTCTTTTCAACCCCTCTCATTAGAAGAATGGAAGTGAAAATTTCCCTTAGGGCATTCTCTTTTTTTAATGAAGCTGTGTTGTCTTGTCAGTCTATTTTTTTTATTATTTTTATATTTCCCCTCCAGTGATTTATGCTTCTCTTCTAATCATATGTTGGAGTAGAGGTTTATCTTCTTTCTCAGGCAAAAAAATAACTAAGATTGGCAGCAGAATCAGTGATTTTATACCCATTTTAAGGCACTTTTCATTTGTGCTGTTAAAGACTGAGGGGGGAGTTGAATGTTGTTTTTTTAAGTATATGCTTTATCCAAAGATTAAATTAAAATAACTGTAAATTCTGCCCTAAACAAAAATGAATAATTCATCAGTTGAATGTGTTTCAGTTTGTCTAGGGAACAGGGACTTTGCTTTCTGGTTGAGAGTTATTTGGTTTGATTTTATGGCTCTGGGTTTTTATTTCAACACTTGTCTGTGCTTCTGAAGATTCATTTGTAAAGGTGTATTTAGATTAAATAAGGCTGAGATGCCATAGATCCCCATCATCCCCATTTCATATGTGTCAGGTGTTTCACTTGGCTTTATGCAGAAGAGAAATGGGTGTAGATTTCCCAAGATAGGGGGGTACAATTTCGTGCTGTAGCTGAGCTGAATTAACATTTTGTCACCAGCTCATCCTTAGGTGTTACCCTGCCTCACCACCCTTCTCAATTCCTCCTCCTCAGTTTCCCTGCTCCTGCCACACTGGGCTGTGCCAGAGATGTTTCTTGTCTGATGGAAATAGCAGCCAATTCACCCTGCTTCAGGAAAAATAAATCCTTTTTATTTCCCCCTGCATTTTCCTGAATTGTTTTGGCTTGCTGCGCCAGGGCTGTGCTGGGGCAAAGGACAGGATTGCACAGCTGGGAGCACCAGGAAGGGGAAGTTGAACAAAAAGATGGTGATTCTGTGGAGTTGTTTGGTCTGCTTGGTTTTGTTCTGATTTTGTTTGGTTTGAGTTGGATGAGTTCCTGGTTTCTTTACAGGCATGGTAGTACTGGCATAGTGGAAGAGAGGTCCTTTGATTTTTCCAAGGTACAGGAAAGCATTAGGTCCATGAGGATTAGAGGGATGGAGCATCTTTCCTCTGGGAGAATTAGGGGTTTCCAGCCTGGAGAAGAATCTAAGCAAAGCTTAGAGCCCTTTCCAGCACCCAAAGGGGCTCCAGGAGAGCTGGAGAGGGACTTGGGACAAGGAATGGAAGGACAGGACAC